TCCTGCTCAGTGAGATGAGAGGGACCATCTTAGTCAGTTCAGGCTGCTATAACAGAATACCATAGACTGGATGGTTTAAATAATACACATGTATTTCTTATAGTTCTGAAGTCTGGGGACCAAGATCAAAGGATGGGAAGATTCAGTGTCTGGTGAGGGCCTGCTTCCTGGTTCATTGACCGTCTTCTTGCTGTGACCTCACTTGGCAGAAAGAGGGCTAGAGAGTTCTCTGGGGGCCGGGCACTGTGGCTCACACTTGTAATACCAACATTTTGGGAGACCAACGCAGGAGGATTGCTTGAGGCCAGGAATTCAAGACCAACCTGGGCAACATAGTGAGAACCTGTAGGTCCAGCTACTTGGGGGCTGAGGCAAGACCATCGCTTGAGGCCAGGAGCTCAAGGCAGCAGTAAGCTATGATCATGCCACTGCACTGCAGCCTGGGTGACAGAGCAAGACCCTGTCTCTAAAAAATAAAAATAAAATAAGATGATAAGAGAGCTCTTTGGGGGTCTCTTTTGTAAGGGCATCCAACACCTAATCACCTGACCTAATTGCCCCCCAAAGGCCCCATCTCCTAATATATACCATGGGGGTTAGGATTTCAACGTAAGAATGTTAGAGGACACAAACATTTATTCCATAACAAGGACATTTGGTGAAGGCCTTCTGGGAAAGGTTTCCTCACCACTAGGTGAGAGCGATGTAAACAGCAGTATCTCTTTTTCCTGGGAATGTTGTCAAGTCTGAGGGTGTCCTGGAACTGCTGCAGCTATTTGGCTAACACCTGAGGATGGAGCCATCTGTAAAGATGGCAGAGCGGAGAGCTGGAAGGAGTCTTTGACCTTTAGGGCACTCGATCTGCCAACACTGAAGGCCACACTAACGCTGAACTTCCTTACACAAGGCAAATTAAACATTGTCACTGTTGGAGCCATTGCCAGTGGGTTTCTGTTATAGCAGAAAGCATGTTTATTGTTACAAACAGAGCAGCATTAAGACTTTTGTGGGCCCTTTCCTATGTAAACTTTTTTTTTTTTTTTTTGAGACAGAGTCTTACTCTGTCATCCAGGCTGGAGTGCAGCAGTGTGATCTCTGCTTACCACAACCTCCACCTCCCGGGTTCAAGCGATTCTCCTGCCTCAGCCTCCCGATTAGCTGGGACTATGGGCACGCTAATTAGACATGCCCGGCTAATTTTTGTATTTTTAGTAGAGATGGAGTTTCACTATGTTGGCCAGACTGGTCTTGAACTCCTGACCTCATGATTCTCCCGCCTTGGCCTCTCAAAGTGCTGGGATTACAGGCGTGAGCCACTGCGCCCAGCCAGTAAGCATTTTTTTAACATTATATTTTATGACTGCATTAGCACAAAATAAATTATATTAATATTATTTATTAAAACATCTTCTTTGCCAGGCGCAGTCAAGCCTGTAGTCCCAGCTACTTGGGAAGCTGAGGCAGGAGGGTCACTCAAGCCCAGGAATTTGAGGCTGCAGTGAGCTACTAACAAGCCACTGCACCCCAGCCTGGCCGACAGAGCAACTCTGTCTCTTAAACAGGCTGTGTGCAGTGGCTCACGCCTATAATCCCAGCACTTTGGGAGGCCGAGGCAGGCGGATCACTTGAGGTCAGGAGTTCGAGACCAGCCTGGCCAACATGGTGAAACCCGGTCTCTACTAAAAATACAAAAATTAGCTGGGTGTGATGGTGTGCACCTGTAATTCCAGCTACTCGGGAGGCTGAGGCAGGAGAATCGATTGAATACAGGAGGTGGAGATTGCAGTGAGCCAGGATCACGCCACTGCACTCCAGTGTGGGTGACAGAGCGAGACTCTGTCTCAAAAACAAGCCAAAAATCCTTTGACTTAAAAGTTTGTTTTTTCTTCTGATTTAAAGGGAATTGTATTAGGGTGTTCTTGCACTGCTAGAAAGAAATTCCTCCAGCCTGGGCAACATAGAGAAACCTCATCTCTACCTAAAATTACAGAAAAATAAAAAATTAGCCTGTTGTGGTGGTGTGTGCCTGTAGTCTCAGCTACTGGGGAGGCTGAGATGGGAAGATTGCTTGAACCCAGGAGGCAGAGGTTGCAGTGAGCTGAGATTGTTCCACTGCACTCCAGCCTAGGCGACAGAGCAAAATCCTGTCTCAAAAAAAAAAAAAAAAAAAAAAAAAAAAAAAAAAAAAAAGAAAGAAAGAAAGAAAAAAGAAATGCCTGAGACTGCGTAATTTATAAGAAAGAAGTTTTGGCTGGGCACAGTGGCTCATGCCTGTAATCCTAGTACTTTGGGAGGCTGAGGCAAGAGGATCACTTGAGCCCAGGAGTTTGAGACCAGCCTGGGCAACATGGCAAGATCCTATCTCAATTATTTTTAAAAAATGAAAAAGAAATAGAAAAGAGGTTTAATTGGCTCATGGTTCTGCAGGCTGTACAGGAAATGTAGTGGTATCTGCTTCTGGGGAGGCCTCAGGAAGCTTCCAATCATGGTGGAAGGTGAAGGGAGAGCAGGCCTATCACATGGTGAAAGCAGGAGCAAGAGGGCGGGGCAGGGCAGGGGAGGTACCACACCCCTTTAAATGACCAGATCTTGCAAGAACTCACTATTGTGAGGACAGCACCAAGAGGATGGTGCCAAACCATTCATGAGAAGTTCACCCCCATGATCCAATCACCTGCTACCAGGCCCCACCTCTAACACTGGGGATTGCAATTTGACATGAGATTTGGGTGGGGACAAACATCCAAACCGTATCAGGAATTAAAGCATTTTTGTCAGCCCTAAAAGTACTGGGGCACTCATGTCTCTACTGTGCTTAGTGGATGGGCTGGTCCTGGTTACAGCTCCCAAATACGTACCTCCGGCCCACACCTCTGTTTTGACTTTCGAGCTCCCATGTCCAACTGTCCTTTGGATAATTCCCCTTTGGTGTCTTACTCAAATCCAACATGTCTCAAGCTGAACACGCTTTCCCCCAAATCTTTTCTTTGTCCAGCGTCCCCTATCTGAGTGAAATATGTACCACCCAGCTAGTTGCACCAGCCAGAAACCTGGACCTCAATTTCTCCCTCACCCCGTAGCCATATCCAGTCACCAAGTGCTGCCAATTTTCTCTCTTACATGCCTCTTGAAAGCATCCACTTCTTTACATTTTCACTTCTATCTCTACTGCTGTTGTCCTAATCCACGTTACCAGCGTCTCTTGCTTGGATTACCACCATGGACCCTAGTGGTCTCCCTGCATTTCACTCTCCATGCAATCATTTATCTACACTGTCCCAGAAGAATCTTTTCCAACTGCTTAAAACCTACTGATGGCTTCACCTCATTATTTCTCTGTTTAAAACCAGCTGATGGCTTCCTGTTGCTCTTATAACAGAGATCCAAAACTTCAGGGAGGCCTTTAAGGCCTTGTCTAGCCTGGCCTCTGCCCCATCTTGCTCAGCTCCCTTCCTACCCTGCTTCAGCCACATGATCTCTCAAACACACAGGCTCCCTCCTGGTGCAGGACCTTTGCACATGATACTCATCTTAGTCCATTTGGGCTGCTATAACAAAATTCCATAGACCGGGTAGCTTATAGAACAAAATAACTTTATTTCTCACAGTTCTAGAGGCTGGGAACTCCAAGATCAGGGTGCTGGCAAATTTGGTGTCTGGTGAGGGCCCTCTTCCTGTTCACAGATGGCGCCTTCTTGCTGTGTCCTCACATACTGGGAGGGCAAACAAGCTCCCTTGAGCTTCTTTAATAAGAGCACTAATCCCATTCATGAGGAACCCTCGTGATCTGTTTCTCTCCCAAAGGTCCCCCACCCAATACCTTTCACCTCGGGAGTTAAAATTTTAACATATGAAACTTAAGGGACACAAACATTCAGACCATAGCAATATTCTTCTATTTTCTACTCCTTCAGCTCAAAGCTTCTCAAGGAAGCTTTCTCTGACCGTAGTCTAGGTCAAGTATCACTAACTATGTGGCATTAGGCAAGTTTCTTTTATTTATTTATTTAATGAGACAGGGGCCTTCCTCTGTCGCTTAGGCTGGAGTGCAATGACGCGATCGTGACTCACTGCAGCCTTGAACTCCTGGGCTCAAGGGATGCTCCTGCCTTGGCCTCCCAAGGTGTTGGGAATACAGGTGTGAGCCACTGTGCCTGGCACAGGGAAGTTTCTTTACTATGTGGTGCCTCCGTTTTCTCATCTGTAAAATGAAGATATAATAATGCCTAACTCACAGGTTTGTTGTGAGGATTAAATAGAATGTCACATATGAACTGCTGTGAAGGCAGCTGGTGCAGTGCCTGCTTGCCTAGTTGTCCTGGCCCCTGGCTAGCTCTCTAGAGGGGGACAGTGGTGGAGAGATCCCTCCCAATTAACACTAGCGGGAGATGTTGGGGTGATATAGGTTCTAAAATGTGAGGATTTCAGGGAAGGGCATCTCTACAAGGGCACAGAAGATTTCTGAGTTAACTGAGTGAAAGCAAAGAGCTAATTGTGCCAGGGAGTCATTGACAACACCTGGGGTTGGACTGGGGTACTCGGAGAAAGAGGTCAAGAGAACTCACAAAGGTCAAGGAGAAAGGGGAGGTGAGTGGGAGTATACCACATTTCTGTCAAATCTCTGAGTAGCCCAGAGGTCTCTATGTCAAGCAAACCTGGGCTGTCATCCTTAGCCTGTCATTTATGAGCTGGAGGAAGGGGAAAGTCATGTCACTTCTCTGTGTTTCAGTTTTCTTTTTTTTTTTCTTCCATTCCACAATCACATCCTTTATTTCTATTCTTATTTTCAAGATAGTATTAAGTGTCCATATTTCTTAAGCCACATTCAAGGAAATCATGTCTTAGCTATTTTGGATGTTGCCTCTCCTTCATCTTGCATATGAAACTCCAGCAGATTTAATATTGGCATCCATCATCTAGTCAAACCTCTCACATGTTCTGTAAACCAATCAAATTTGGGATTCTCAACATTTTCTGTGTCAATAAAAGGTGTGGAATTAGTAGATTGGACGAAGACCTGTTTTTCCTTGCCACATTGGACTTCCAGACGCCATGTGGATTGGGTGTAGAAGATGGGGAAGTTTAGATGTTTCTTGGCCTGAGTCTTTTAACAGTAGAGATGTAGAAGAAAGTGAGACCACGAAGAGACTGGCTGTTGACTGCAGGGCACCACCAACCGCCTTGGTGGTGGCATTAGCTGGATTTGGGGCCGTCGAAGTACTCTGGGAGGAGTTACTTGAAACTGTTACAACAGTTGTTTGATTGGAATAAATCTGCGTGGGTAGGAGCAGTGCCAGCAGCAGCAGCCCCAGCCCGAGCCTGGCCACCATTGCTCTGCCCATGTCCCCTCTGTCGGTGCGCGACGTGTCTCGCTGGATGCTGGGTGCTTGGAGAACCGCTGGCTCCGGGCGGGCGCAGGCAAGGTCTCAGTTTTCTTACCTATAAAATTGAGCTAATGAATTGACTTTGCAGGGTCGGTGGGAGGATTAAATGGGGGTATATTAGTTTGCTGGGGCTGCCTAATGGCTTGAGCTGAGATGTTGGTCTTCTCTGGCCCTTAGACTGGGACTTACACCATCAGTGCTTCTGGTTCTCAGGCCTTTGGACTGAAGCTGAAATCTGTATCACTGGCTTTCCTGGGTCTCCAGCCTGCAGATAACAGATCACAGGACTTTGCAGCCTCCATAACTGTATGAGTCATTTCCTTATAATAAATCTCATTATACTCTGTGTGTGTGTGTGTGTGTATACGTGTATACACATATGTATATGTATACACATATATACACACACTGTATATATATACATACACACACACACACACACACACACACACACACACTGTGCCAGGCCGTGTTTTGTTTCTTCTGATCTACAGATGATTAATCGCATATCTAATGTTCATTTTTTCTCTTCTTTGTTAGGAAAAATTTACGGGCCACATGTCTAGAGGAAAAATTTTACATCCTAACCTCTCTTTTAGATAGGGTGGCCAATGAGCTATAAGCAGTAGGGCTTCCAGAGAAGCCCTTTCACTGAAATTCTCTTACTTTCATCTCCCTGCCCAGAACTATGATATGATGGCTGGAGTGCCAGTAGCCACATTTTAACCTTGAAGATAGAAGCTGCATAAAGAATGGTGAAGCACAAAAATAGAATCCTAGGTGACTTTCTAGAGCATACCAGTCTTAGACTGCCTGCCTCTGGAATTCTCTTATGTGTGAGAATAAATTTGTACAAGCCATCATAGTTAAATCTCTATTACTACTCACCAACTACAATCCCTAATAAACAAACATGCCCCCGCCTTTCTGCCTATTCAGCCTAGAGTTCCAGGAACTTTTTTTTTCTTTTTTTCTTTTTTTTTTTGAGACACAGCCTCACTCTGTCATCCAGGCTGGAGTACAGTTTGCAATCTTGGCTCACTGCAGCATCTGCCTCCTGGGTTCAAGCAATTCTCATTCCTCAGCCTCCCAAGTAGCTGGGATTACAGGCGTGCACCACCACGCCCGGCTAATTTTTGTATTTTTAGTAGAGACAGGTTTTACTATGTTGGCCAGCCTGGTCTCGGACTTCTGACCTCAGGTAATCTGCAGGACTTGGTCTCCCAAAGTGCTGGGATTACAGGTGTGAGCTGCCGCGCCCAGCCTCTAGGACTTTAAGTGGGCATTTCTATGAACATCCAATCATTCCTGAAGAAAAAAGGTGCTTATTACACCATATGGTGTAAGAACAAAAATCACTTTCTTTTTTTCTTGGAGACAGAGTCTCTCTCTGTTGCCCAGGCTGGAGTGCAGTGGCACGATCATGGCTCACTGTAGCCTTGACCTCCCAAGTTCAAGCAATCCTTCCGCCTCCGTCTCCCAAGTAGCTGGGACTACAGAAGCTTGCCACCATGCCCGGAACATTTTTGTGTTTTTTTGTAGAGACTGGGTTTTACCATGTTGCCCAGGCTGGTCTTGAACTCCTAGGTTCAAGTGATCTGCCTGCCTTGGCCACCCAAAGTGCTAGGATTACAGGTGTGAGCCATCATATTTTCCTTTTTTTTTTTTTTTTTTGAGGTGGAGTCTTGCTCTGTCACCCAGTAGCTCCTTATGCACCACCACTCCTGGCTAATATCTGTATTTTTAGTAGAGACAGGGTTTTGCTGTGTTGGCCAGGCTGGTCTTGAGACTCCTGACCTCAAATCGTCATCTTCCTCAGCCTCCCAAAGTCCTGGGATTACAGGTGTGAGTCACCAAGCCTGGCCCAAAGATTACTTTCTATTCCACTTTATATCCCCAGTGCCTACGTCATTCTTGACCCATTACTCAATAAATTCTGGGTAAAAAAATGAACAGATGAATGGATGGATGCTTAATCAAAATATTGAAGAAGAAGAAGAAAGTGCCAAATATTAATGTATTGCTTCATAGCTCTAGAGTTATCATTTTTTGCCCTGCTTTGTCATACTGGATGGTAGGACTGGGAGACAAAATTCTAACTTGAGTCAACAGAGTAAAGAATCATGGACATTCACTCAGTTTCCAGAAGTAAGCCAGTTTTCAGACCCAAAGCCCCTAGATTCAAGGGGAGGCTGAGTCCCTTTAAAAAACAACCCTGTAAGCCTGGACAACATGGCGAAAACCCATCTCTACATAAAGCAGAAAAATTAGCTGGGTGTGGTGGTGCATGCTTGTAGTCCCAGGTACTTGAGAAGCTGAGGTGGGAGGATCACCTGAGCCTGGGGAGGTCAAGGCCGCTGTGAGCCATGATCACCCCACTGCTCTCTAGCTTTGGCAACAGTGAGACCCTGCCACAAAACAAAACAAAACAAAACAAAGCAAAACAAAACACAAGCCTGCAGAATTGCTACAATATATGATTAAATGTCCCTCTGAGTCTTCTTTAATGAGACCTAATGCCATTAACTAGAGATCCAGGCCTTTGAGAGGTGACTAGACACTATGTCTGGATTGATATAACTTTTGGGGGCCCAAAAATGCCACTGTGGCCTACCAAATATGGAACCAGTTGGTCTATGGGCTTATCCTGAGTTATTTCCTCAGTTCCTGAAAGAATAATTGGAACAGACATCCTTGACCAGAGGCAGAATTCCTGCATTGGCTCTCTAAATCCACGGGATCAGGGTCATTATGGTAGAAAGAGTTAAGAGGAAGTCCGCCTGGAACTTTCCCCTTCTTACCAACATAGCAAACCAGAAGCAATGCTGCATTCCTGGGGGAATTACAGAGAATAGTATCATCACATCAAAGACTTGAAACATGGGAATATCTATCATATACCCATTTAATTCCCCTATTCGGCTTGGGCAAAAGCAGAATGGATATTGGGAAATGGTTGTGGATTTCAGAAAACTTAGTTCAGGTGTGACTCCAATTGCAACTTCTATTACAAATTAGCATCTTTACTAAAGCAAATCAGCAGAACCTCTAGCATTTGTTATGCAGCTGTTGATCTGACTAATGCTTTTCTCTCCATACCAAGTTGCAAGGACTAACAGAAGCAGTTTATTTTTACCTAGCAAGGTTAACAGTACACATTCACTGTCCTGTCTCGATGCTTCTGTATCAGCTCTCAAGCTCTGTGCCATATTACAGTGAGCAGAAATCCTGATTGTCTTGACATTACATAAAACATGACTCCTGTCCATTACATTGACCTTATGCTTGCTAGATCTGATGAACAGAAAGTAGCAATCAATTTGGAAGTCTTAGTAATATATAAGCAAACCAGAGAATGTGAGATAAGCCTGAGGGGCATGCCGTCTCAGCCACCTCAGAGAAATTTCTGAGGATTCAGTGGTCTGGCCCTTGTTAAGATAACCTTTCTAAAGTGACAGAAGTTGATGCACCATCTACCATGATTAAACACTTGGTAGACAATGTTGGATTTTGGAGGCAAACGCATTTTTAGCTTGGACCTTCTAAGGAGTCACACATAAGGCTGCTAATTTCAAATGGGGATCAGAGCAAGAAAAGGCTCTGTAATATGTCTAGGCTATAGAGTAAGATGCTATTCTACTTGGTCCTTATGATCTAGCAGATCCAGCGATACTCAAGAGTGTGTATCAAATGTGGATGGTCAATAAAACCTTTGGCAAAACATCATACTGAATAGGGAAAAGCTGGAAGCATTCCCCTTGAAAACCAGCACAAGACAAGGATGCCCTCTCTTGCCACTCCTATTCAACATAGGATTGGAAGTCCTAGCCAGAGCAATCAGGCAAGAGAAAGAAATAAAGAATATTCAATCCTGTTTGCAGACATGATTCTATATCGAGAAAACCCCATAGTCTCACCCAAAAGCTCCTTCAACTGATAAACAACTTCAGCAAGATTTCAGGAAACAAAATCAATGTACAAAATCACTAGCATTCTTATCCACCAACAACCAAGCTGAGGGCCAAATCAGGAATGCAATCTCATTCACAATTGCCACAAAAAGAATAAAATACCTAGGAATACAGTTAACCAGGGAGGTGAAAGATCTCTACAATGAGAATTACAAAACACTGCTCAAAGAAATTAAAGATAACACAAACAAATGGAAAAACATTCCATACTCATGGATAGGAAGATTAAAATGGCCATACTGCCCAAAGCAATTCACAGATTCAATACTATTCCTATCAAACTACCAATAACATTCTTCACACAACTAGAAAAAACTATTTACAAATTCATATGGGGCCAGGCATAGCAGCTCATGCCTATAATCCCAGAAATTTGGGAGGCTGAGGCAGGTGGATCACTTGAGGCCAGGAATTTGAGACCAGCTGATCAACATGGCAAAACCCTGTCTCTATTAAAAATACAAAAATTCTCTATTAAAAATACAAAAATTAGCAGGGCATGGTGGGCACACATCTGTAGTCTTGGCTACTCAGGTGGCTGAGGCACGAGACTCACTTGACCTTGGGTGGCAGAAGTTACAGTGAGCCAATATTATTCCACTGTACTCCACTCAAACACACACACACACACACACACACTCATATGGAACCAAAAAAGAGCCTGAAAAATAACCAAGGTAATCCTAAGCAAAAAGAATAAAGCTGGAGGTATCACATTATCCAACTCCAAACTATGCTACAGGACTACAATAACCAAAACAGCATGGTATTGGTATAAAAACAGACACACAAATCAATGGAACAGAATAGAGAGCCCAGAAATAAGGCCACACAACTACAACCATCTGATCTTCGACAAAGCTGACAAAAACAGGCAATGGGGAAAGGGCTCCCTATTCAATAAATGGTACTGGAATAACTGGCTAGCCCTATGCAGAAGATTGAAACTGGACCCCTTCCTTACACCATATACAAAAATCAATTCAAGATGGATTAAAGACTTAAATGTAAAACACCAAACTGTAAAAACCCTGGAAGACAACCTAGGCAATATCATTCTGGACATAGGAATGGGCAAAGATTTCATGCTGAAGATGCCAAAAGCAATCACAAGAAAAGCAAAAATCGACAAATGGGATCAAATTGAACTTAAGAGCTTTTGCACAACAGAATAAACTATCAACAGAGTAAACAGACAACATACAGAATGGGATATTTGCAAACTATGCACCTGACAAAGGTCTAATATTCAGCATCTATAAGGAACTTAAACAAATTTACAAGGAAAAAACAAACAATGCTATTAAATAGTGAGCAAAGGACATGAACAGACACTTTTCAAAAGAAGACATATATGCGGCCAACAAA